GCCTTCTTTTGTTTCTGATATTGTTTGTGTGAACCTCTTGACGTTAAAAGTTATTCTTTTTATGTATTACCTCACATATGCTCTCTCTCTCTCTCTCACACACACACACACATTTCCAGTGCGTTCTATTTTAAATTTTAATCCCTTTTCTGCTAAACTAATTTGTGCATGTTGTGTGCTTTTAAGCACAGGAAGAAACTTGACACAGGTCTCTATGATTGATTATATCTCACAAAATTAGTGTTTGCATTTACGTGCTTTTTTCCCATCAGATTTGTTTTTTGTTTTCTTACACTTAAGGCACAAAATATTTGCCATAGGTTGATTTTGATGTGTGCATCCTGAGGTCCAACTTATTCTTTCTTGTTAAAACTTGAGGATATCTATATACTTGGTTCATTCATGCTTTTGTGCATGCTTATGGATCTGCTAAGAATGTTCTCATTTCTCACATTTGTGCACTTTTTCCTGTTGGAAACAATCCTTGGAGTGACTTATGCTGTGTTTGGTTGGGAGATTTGGAGAGGGATTTGGAAAGGGAAAGGGAAAAAGTGTGTGAAACTAGGTGAAATATAGACATATTTTATTCACATTTCACCTATATTTTCCATTTCCCTTTCCAAATTCCTCCCCAAATCTCCCAACCAAACACAGCATTAATGAATGGTCAAATCTATGCCTGTACTTTGGGGCTAGGAGATTGAGCATTTTGTTTATTCCAGAATCTTCTTGTGTTTGATTATGTCTGAATTTCAATCTCAGATATGGGTATATGGGAACAGCTTTGAGTCTTTCCTTGTTGCTGTTGTAAACCCAAATAAGCAAGTACTTGAACGTTGGGCTGAAGAAAATGGTGTACCTGGGGATTTCAATTCCCTCTGTGAAAATCCCAAGGCAAAACAAAACGTACTTGTAGAGCTCACACGGATTGGAAAGGGAAAGAAGGTTTGTGTCTTCTACACTTCCAACCACCTCTCATTTCTACTTCCATTTGATAATTGAATAATAATCTGAGTTAGCAGAGGGGAAGAAAACGTTATTTACTTCCAGAAGATTTCTGAAACTTTTGTGATTTGCCTGGCAGTTGAAAGGGTTTGAATTTATAAAAGCTGTTCATCTTGACCCCGAGCCATTCGACATGGAGCGTGACCTTCTGACCCCAACATTGAAGAAGAAGAGGCCTCAGTTGCTCAAATACTACCAGGTAGCTCTTCTTGATTCTCTCAAGGAATCTCATGGCATGCCATTGTACTATGTTCATTGACTAGATGCTTTGACCCAAAACTGTTTTGAAATATGTGAAATGTGTATTAGAATTCTAATTTTTTTCCGGTGAGACTTGAGAGGAATCGGGAGGAAATCATTTCATTGTAGAAAAATATGTATTAGAATAATCTGTGGAGAAGAAAAGCCAAAAATTGAACCCCCTCGAGTTAAAATCCTGGTTCCACCCTTGGCCATGAGTGTTTGAACATTGGAGATTTCTAGTTCACTCCATGTTGCCATCTGCCAAGCAACTAGTGCATGCAAGAACTTTTAGTCGACTTAAATTTCCAATTAACTTTTTTGGAATTTGTTAATTTGTCATTTCTGTTTATGACTACTTTATAGTACTCTTTTTTTTTTGGGTGGCACAGTACTAAGGGGAAATCTTTGTGTTGCATTGCAGAACATTGTTGACAACATGTACAAGGGTGCAAAGTAAGCAACCTGCCTGAAGATGGTGTTTTCTAAATTTTAACAGCCCTAAAAAAGGATCTTCATTCTTCGATGCTATTGCCAGTTTTGGCTTTTTGGCATCCCACTCTTTCTTGAAACTGTATATATTGTTGGTTACTTGTATAACCTTGATGATTAGTGCTATACAAATCAACAAAACTTACAAACCGATGTGGCACCAATCATGTTAATTTATTGGATTCAATTTCACTTTTCATAGTTCTATTAATGCATGCCAAAGCCAAATCTTGTTCAGTTCTATTGAAGCTGTGTTTTCTCTGATTATTCATCTTTCTAGTCTTCAACACAAGAAAAGGAAATTTCCATCCTTTGTGTTGAAAGATAAATTTGGTATTGAAAGGAGAAAGGTTTATTGGCTTTAAACAGGGATGGACAGATTGTTCAAATTGTATCAATTTAAAAACAGAGAGGTTTACAATGAAAAATTAGAACACTAAGGTTTAATTAAATCCTGAATTGTTTTTGTAATTTTCTGAAGATATTGTTATCATTATTATTACTTTGCAGGTGCATACTTGAGGTTGTATTGGTTAGTCACCAGATATCCAATTGGGAGAACTGGAATATTAAGATTGGTCCCTATTTGTGCCGACTCAGCAACCATTTTTTGGTCTAATTTTTTTAATGATATATTTTTCCTAAAATTGTTTAGAAAACATTATATTTTATATAAAAATGGCCAAAGAACACAGGCATAGAAAGATTGGAGCACTTAATTATAATGTGAACTTGAAACAAAGATACCAAGAAAAAGAATTCAATACATAAACCAAGATTCATCAATCAAATGATAAAACAATGAGAAATCTTTTGTCATTGCACAAACTATATTTGTATTGCAAATGTGAAATTTTGGAAATACAATTACATGAGAGAGAGAGAGAGAGAGCACTCAGTTGTTTTTAAAGGACACAAAAAAAAAAAAAAAAAAACAAACAAACAAGCAAGCTCCTTGATTTTTTTTTTTGTCATACTGAGAAATAATTTTCTTCTCAACATGCACACTTGCCCTATTTGTGTCTCAAAACTATCTATGCTAATAACTACTGAAGTGGAGGAGAAAGAGGATGAGCACACCTGTTTAATCATCTCTTCATGCCTTTCTCCCTCCTAACATTCCATCGGCAAACCTACTCTCAATCCAAAATCAACAAGTAATTGAAAAATTACAACTTAAAAGAACAAATCCCTTTCCAAATTGCATCTTGTATAGCTGAAAAATCCCAATTCTCACATCACAACCCAAGAAAAACCCGTGTCAGCCACCTCTTTTCGTAATTTTAGGCCAAATTGTAGCTTGAGACTGAGACATTAGCTTGAGAGGCAGAGTGGATGTAAGCAAACTCTAGGCTCTTCCCAGCTGTTAGAGAGTTGAGCCATGCTGGAAAAACATATGAATCGCCCGACTTTGTCAGGCCCCACAGAGGACCGTAGAGCTTGGAGATTGAAAGGTTGAGAAATTTCAGTGTTTTGGGTGACTTGTTTGTCACAGTTGTGGAGTATCTGTAGTAAGTCTTGCCATTGTAATCCCATGAACTTGTCATCTTTTGTTCAATGGCAATGGGTGCAGAAGACGAAACTGCAAAACAAGCAAATTACATTAGATTTAATTATTCCCATATTAGATCAACATTTGGAATTACAGGCCACAAGAAATTCTTCCAACCTCTGGATCGAAGTAGTACGGACGCAGACATGAGACACAACAATTTTGAAAAAGTTAAGATATATTGGGGATATAGTAAACCAAAAATAAAATAAAATTATAGATATAAATTTTGAGTATAAAGATATAAGAGACATCAATGTATGTGTGTATTTTTATTTTTCTTCACTTTCCATCTTTTTGTTTCTTTACTTTGAACTCAAATAAGCTTTCTAAAATTATTTTAAAAAATCCATAAAAGTGTAGGCATGTCCAAACATATGACACATGTATCCGTTAAGTGTTATGCAAAATAATAATAATAAAAAAAATTTAACACTTCATGTGGTGTGTCTAAATGTGAACACACGTATCAATGGTGTGTTGGTATCCAATACATGTTGGACACAGACACAATACCCAATTTGAAGTGTACGCGCTTCCTAGAATTAGATAAAGTCCAACAGGGATGTCTTTGCATGAGGATTGCAAGAATACCTTGAGATGGTGTGGTTCCGGTAACTGGAGCAAGCTTTGGCTGGGTTTTAGGGGCTGGAAAGGTCACTGTAAAGCAAATTTATTAAACATTATCAGCAAGAGAAAATGTTATTCTTAATCATATAGAATAAAGAAATAAGTAAGTGACAAAATTTCAGATTATAACCCGTATACATACCTGGAAGGAGCTGGTTGTAGCCGCTATGTCCACTGTGTAGTCTTGCTAAAATGCCAAGAAGAGGAGCATTGTTGTAGGTAGCTGGCTTTGTTTGCTCATAGTTGTCTCTTTGATCAGCAAAGTTGTCATAAATAAGCGTCGGGTCCACCAACAAGAGCACCTGTTAGGAGGTTTGGATCGCTTGCATTCTTGCTAAACCATGTGGCATAGCCTCCACGGCAACTGACAAATGAAGGGTTGTCCTTAAAGGAGACAGTGGAGGAAGCTCTGTGATGAACCTGTTGTGGGTAGTTGTTTCCATAGCCTACCATATAACTTGTAGCTCTTGGGTTGTCTCCAAGAATATAGTCCACCTGAGGGTTCAAACATTGCAAGAATTAGAGCCTTGTAACAAACTAGTTCCTATTCTAAAAAAATATGTCAAATTGATTCAAATCACTTCAAATCGTATAGTTTGGTTTGGTTTTTTGAAAGAACAGTTTAGTCCCAGTTCCAAAGATGTATTGATCTTGTCAGATGATAACAAGTCTTAACCTGAGATTTGGCAAATGAAAGAAGCTCAGATGGAGAGACACCGCCAGAAGCACACTTCAGGTTTTTCTTGGCGTGCCCAAGGGATGGAACAACTAGCGTGCCCAATGTTGTTGCTTCAGGATTTATTCTGAGTGATAAAGAAATAGGAAGTGCACATTTTCATCAGACTGGTGATGAAAATGGGAGAAGTTGCACAGAGAATCGCCTCTTGGATTCAAGTACCAAAAGAAAAAGAGGTCCACGGAGCACACCTGTTTAATCATCTCTTCATGCCTTTCTCCCTCCTTACATTCCATCGGCAAACCTACTCTCAATCCGAAATCAACAAGTAATTGAAAAATTACAACTTAAAAGAACAAATCCCTTTCCAAATTGCATCTTGTATAGCTGAAAAATCCCAATTCTCGCATCACAACCCAAGAAAAACCCGTGTCAGCCACCTCTTTTCGTAATTTTAGGCCAAATTGTAGCTTGAGACTGAGACATTAGCTTGAGAGGCAGAGTGGATGTAAGCAAACTCTAGGCTCTTCCCAGCTGTTAGAGAGTTGAGCCATGCTGGAAAAACATATGAATCGCCCGACTTTGTCAGGCCCCACAGAGGACCGTAGAGCTTGGAGATTGAAAGGTTGAGAAATTTCAGTGTTTTGGGTGACTTGTTTGTCACAGTTGTGGAGTATCTGTAGTAAGTCTTGCCATTGTAATCCCATGAACTTGTCATCTTTTGTTCAATGGCAATGGGTGCAGAAGACGAAACTGCAAAACAAGCAAATTACATTAGATTTAATTATTCCCATATTAGATCAACATTTGGAATTACAGGCCACAAGAAATTCTTCCAACCTCTGGATCGAAGTAGTACGGACGCAGACATGAGACACAACAATTTTGAAAAAATTAAGATATATTGGGGATATAGTAAACCAAAAATAAAATAAAATTATAGATATAAATTTTGAGTATAAAGATATAAGAGGCATCAATGTATGTGTGTATTTTTATTTTTCTTCACTTTCCATCTTTTTGTTTCTTTACTTTGAACTCAAATAAGCTTTCTAAAATTATTTTAAAAAATCCATAAAAGTGTAGGCATGTCCAAACATATGACACATGTATCCGTTAAGTGTTATGCAAAAAAATAATAACAAAAAAAAATTTAACACTTCGTATGGTGTGTCTAAATGTGAACACACGTATCAATGGTGTGTTGGTATCCAATACATGTTGGACACAGACACAATACCCAATTTGAAGTGTACGCGCTTCCTAGAATTAGACAAAGTCCAACAGGGATGTCTTTGCATGAGGATTGCAGGAATACCTTGAGATGGTGTGGTTCCGGTAACTGGAGCAAGCTTTGGCTGGGTTTTAGGGGCTGGAAAGGTCACTATAAAGCAAATTTATTAAACATTATCAACAAGAGAAAATGTTATTCTTAATCATATAGAATCAAGAAATAAGTAAGTGACAAAATTTCAGATTATAACTCGTATACATACCTGGAAGGAGCTGGTTGTAGCCGCTATGTCCACCGTGTAGTCTTGCTAAAATGCCAAGAAGATGAGCATTGTTGTAGGTAGCTGGCTTTGTTTGCTCATAGTTGTCTCTTTGATCAGCAAAGTTGTCATAAATAAGCGTCGGGTCCACCAACAAGAGCACCTGTTAGGAGGTTTGGATCGCTTGCATTCTTGCTAAACCATGTGGCATAGCCTCCACGGCAACTGACAAATGAAGGGTTGTCCTTGAAGGAGACAGTGGAGGAAGCTCTGTGATGAACCTGTTGTGGGTAGTTGTTTCCATAGCCTACCATATAACTTGTAGCACTTGGGTTGTCTCCAAGAATATAGTCCACCTGAGGGTTCAAACATTGCAAGAATTAGAGCCTTGTAACAAACTAGTTCCTATTCTAAAAAAATATGTCAAATTGATTCAAATCACTTCAAATCGTATAGATTGGTTTGGTTTTTTGAAAGAACAGTTTAGTCCCAGTTCCAAAGATGTATTGATCTTGTCAGATGATAACAAGTCTTAACTTGAGATTTGGCAAATGAAAGAAGCTCAGATGGAGAGACACTGCCAGAAGCACACTTTAGGTTTTTCTTGGCGTGCCCAAGGGATGGAACAACTAGCGTGCCTAATGTTGTTGCTTCAGGATTTATTCTGAGTGATAAAGAAATAGGAAGTGCACATTTTCATCAGACTGGTGATGAAAATGGGAGAAGTTGCACAGAGAATCGCCTCTTGGATTCAAGTACCAAAAGAAAAAGAGGTCCACGCACTAATATTGATGTGAGTAAGATGATGATGACGATGATGATGATGACATGACTCCAATTAGTAAACTTAAAACAAAGGCAACTCAAGAGTTGATTACAGATGTGGGTGATGGTTCTGACAGTGCAGATAGTTCTTCTGACATTGAAAGTACGATTAAAAAGCTCCGAAGTAGGAATGATAAAAAGAAAATATGGTTATTTGAAATTGACATGATTTTAGCATTTCAGAACAATCCCAAACTATGCATGAATGCTGTTTGTGCTCTTTATAGGCAGCAATTGCGCAAGGGGCAATCCGTTAATGGCTCCTCTTTGACCAAGAATCAAGGATTTACTGTGTTTGCTTTAATGAGGTATGACTAAAAAGAGGCAAGCGGTTTGTTGATTCCGTTCACTGATTACCTTCGGTAATAATTACAATAAATAGTTCACCTAGCTACTAAAATTAATACATTGCATCGCAACACATAGTGCACCACTTTGCTTATGAAGGATAGCTACAACTGATATACTACTAGGTCAAGCCTCCATTCTTACGTTTATAAGATAAATATATATATATATATATTCTGTTATGTTACCTTTTACAAATTACGGTTTGCAGTATGTTATATCCTTTTTCTTTTCTTTTTCGTTTTTTCGTTCAACTTATATCTTATGGTGATTTCTTGTTAAATTTGCACAATATGGTAATTTTTTATGATTGCTTTTTGCATTGTAAAAGATTTTGAGAATTTGCCTATGTTGGAAAGTTATTTATGTTTATAACCAACACATGGAAAATATTAAATCATAAAAAGGAAAAAATAATTGAAAAGAAAAGAAGAATAACAAGAGGAGGTGATTTTGGTTTCATATGTACTCATAGAAGTGTATAGATATTTTTTTCCCTGAACAAGTGGATGCAATCTTAATTTTATTGACATTTCCATTTCAACTTTCATTTCCTTCACTAGTACATTTCCATTTCAACTTCATTTCCTTCACTAGTAACTCTCTCTCTCTCTCTCTCTCTCAGTTAGGGGTATTAATGTGAAAAGTTTTGACATTTCCATTTCAAGTTCATTTCCCAAACAATCTCAACACAAGTGGCATCACTCTCTGTTATGTTTTTAGCCTTCTCCATCCCTATGCTCTTCTTTCCCTTTTAAGTCAGGTTGTATCATCTTTATGTTAGGAATTTATACTTTTAGCTTTAATTCCAAAAACCTCCCACAAGTCTAAGAATTTGTTTGTAGTCATATTTCTCGCCTTCTTACATTTTTTGTGCTCTTGGACACTACATGAGCAAATGTGAACAATTTCATTTTTGGCATGTTCAGTGATTGATTAGAAAAGAACCAAAAGAAAAAGGGAAAGAAAATTGTCTGACCTGATTAGGAAGCTGTCACCAAAGCTAGGTTGATGTATTTTTTGCTGTCTTCTTCTTTTTCTTTTTCTTCACTCCAAATTTTTTTTTTTTTTGGCAGTTTTATTTTCCCTTTTGCCATCTACTTTTATATTCCATGGGAAGAAGTGAAGACATGATATCTCCAAAATCTGAAAAAGCATGTCCAAAATCAGAAAAAACATCTCCACCTAAACAGGTTATGTGTTCCTGATATGTTTTTATTGTGGAATTATATGTCTTTATCAACAACAAATGAATGATTTTTCTCCTTTTTGTTAAATACATGTACAAATAGTTTATGAATTATGATTGCAATAAGCAAACAGTACTACTATTTATGTACAATTTAATCCAACATACATACATGCATGTGTGCCTGCATGAGAGAGAGAGAGAGAGTTTTTGCTGTATTCTTTCTTCTTCTTCTTCTTCTTCTTCTTCTTCTTCTTCTTCTTCTTCACTGAAGTGTGTTAGTTTAATAGATAATTTTACTGTGAGATTTTAATATGGCAATTTTGATTTATGTGTTTTAATTTTTGAATTCCCTCCCTCTGTCTATATGAATGTAAACACACCATATATGTGTTGACATTCTTTCTTGATTTCTTGTCATTACTGTGAATTGCTTTGTATGTTGGTGTTGTGTTTTTTAAAACTTTGAACTGGATTGGGTGCTCTGCCCTTGGAAAATTTGTAATATGGCATGGCTATAACGTCCTCTTGAACTGTATGATTTTTTAAAATTTACCATATTCCATTTTGATTACTTTTGTTCTGCAGTTTTTGGCTGGCAAATTATTTTTGCAGCAATCAAAAATATTATTGAATGAAGTTTGCTCAGATAGTATGGATGGAGTTGGTGATGAATTGGCTACAATTGATGCTGTGGATAACACACTTTTTCAAAGCAAAGATGGTGAGTATTCACGGAAAGCAAACATGCTGGTATGATGGAATCACATGAAATGATGATACCCAGTGAGCGTGAATGTCATGGGGGCTCGTCCCCTTTATTTACAACTATTTTAGAGGGCAAGAACCCAGAAAGAGGTTGTGTGTCTGAACGTCTAAGTGCTAGTATTCATTGTGTGGATGATGCTGGGGTCATGGCTGAAGAGTTAACACTACAAAATTTTAAGAATGAAAACATAGCTATAGTGAGTACCTCAAGCAATAGGGATGCTATAATATCAAATGCTTGGAAGGATGTTGGATATACAGTTTTTCCAGAATTATTGGGTCCAAAACCACCAGATGATGTTCACAATGATAACGTGGAACATGTACTGAATAATGAAAGCAAAGTTGTTGCAAGCAATCCATTAGCACCCCCTGGAGGTATCAGTACAAAAATTCTTTCTAAATCTGGGTTTTCTAAGTATTTTGTTAAGAATACCCTGAAAAGTAAGGGGGTTATATTTAAAGGTCTAGCTCATGAAGGATTTGGTGCTGTGATTAGGGGCCAGACGGATTCCAAGGCCTCCAGTACTGCTATGGTAGCTTTTAATGCACCATTGTGTTCAAGTTCTAAAACTGTTGTGCCTCCTTCTCATGATGTTGCCAAGCCTGGGCTGGGTCCCAGTCTCAATGCTTTTCATGATTGAGTTAGTCTGAGGGAATGGCTAAAAGCCGGGCAATATAAGGGAAATAAAGTCAATAATTTTCATATATTTAGGCAAATTATGGGTCTCGTGGATATCTCTCACGCTAAAGGAGTTGCCTTGCAAGGCTTACGGCCGTCCTGCTTCAAGTTGTTGCCATCAAATCAGGTTATATACCTTGGATCATGTGTCCGGCATGAAACTGCAGAGAATTCTATAGATCAGGATAGTTTCCTCTTAGAAAATGATCGAAATGAGAAAAGGCCATTAGAACAGGCGATGCATCCTGCTGTTAGTGAGCGGATAAAGAAGCAAAAGTTTGGGGAGAACCTGAACTTTATCAGACAGTGGCATCAGTTTCCATCAAGATCTAGCTTTAAAATCGCAACTGCTCATGATACTGATGTCAGTATTGCTGGGCCAAAGGATTCCTGGAATGAATTGAACAAAGAGCATAACCTGAGAAGAGAATATAAGAGTGAGAGCAACTACAGTAGGCTTACACCCCAACTGCGGTCTACTTATGCAAGCGACCCATTGGAAGAGAAGAAGTGGTATACCAGTCCTGAGGAGCTTAGCGGGAAAGGATGCACATTTTCATCAAATATTTACATTCTAGGGGTTTTACTCTTTGAGGTACAAGAAAAGCTTTCTTATGCTGAAAAAATGTGAGGTATTCAAACATGGTAATCTCAGCATAGCTAGGAATATGAATACATTTCCATCGACGTTATTCAGTATCTTGTTTTTTCCCCTATATCTAATTTTACTATAGCATCGTGAACTAGAAATGTGTAGCAATCCTTGTTATCAAGGTCTTGACAAAAATTCCATCTATTATCCTTTTATTTTTGTATCATTAGGAATTTGGATTTTGTATAATTGAACATTATCTACTCTTCCTTGAATGGTGGGTTGTGGAGGTATTGTAATTTTACAAAGTCATTTAAGGGATAACATTAGCATTGTTGCTTGGATTGTGATAATACAATGGTGTTGGGTAATATATTCCAAGAAACATATGCAGATTCTCTATGCGTTGCTCAATTAGTTGAATTGTCATTATGTTTAGGGACTATGCTAGTTTTTGGAGGGCTTTAGATAAAAAATGGTTGAAATGATAGATATTGGCTTGACTAGTGGTGCAGTCAGAAGTTTTTAGAGGAACTTCTCAATGAACAAAAATCCCAAGTACCCCCCGTGTCATTCTCAATCATGGATCGTCCATATGAATAGCAACAGCTTAATGGTTCCTTAGAAGGTCTAGGCATTAATCCTGGTTCCTGGTTCCTGTTTCATTTTGTTGAGATGGATCATAAACCATTGGATGATCTGTTTTTGGTAATGTTATTACTTCATGGCATTGAGTTGATGAAGGACAATAGCTGAAGATTTTCCACTTCCCTTATATTCTTTGTAGAGTTTTTGGTGGATTCATGTGTCCCTGTAGATAATAGAGTTTTCTGTGGATAAAGGAAGTTCCGCTTTTCTCTGGCTCTTTATATATTTTACTTATAAAAGAAATAGAAGAAGGAAGAAGAAGAAGAAGAGGATGATATGGAAGATTCTTCTAATTTCGTATTTATATTCATTAAGAAAAAATAACTTTGT